GATAGACATTCAGAAATTTACCTTATTAAGTGATGGATATTTTTGTATTCTTATAAATATTATTTAGCTTTGTTCAAGAATGTGTAGCTAGTTTAATTCTGGTTGTTAAACTGGATCAGAGGTGCATTTACTTATGGGTTAATTTTCCTCTATTTTAATGCAAAACCCACTTGCTTATCTAATACCCTCTGAATTATAAGGTTTTCTGCTCTGGCCAGAAGTAACGGGAATTCTTCCTGGGCTTGTTTGAGCTCATGGATCATTTTCTCTAATTCTTTCATTGGTTCTTTTCCTGGATCAGGATAGTTTCTTCACTCACATGTGTTGAGTATTTCTCTGCTGAATAGTTGAGGAAGGTCGTACATATAACTCAATTCTTGTCTGCAATTTTTCCTTCTTTGTTCTATCCTGTGAATTTTACCCTTCTGTTCTTCCCAAACTCTGCTTTGTCTCATCAACTCAGGGAGTCTTCCAGACTGCCTGACTTAGCCGTACCTACACTGCTGCTTGAAAACTCTTTCCAGGTAGTAAGCTAGGAGAGTTGTAGGGATTATCTCATTTGTTTCTCATCTCTCAGTATTCACTGTCCTTTTGTTGCCTGATGTTTAATGTCTTGAAAAGTGTCTTTTCATATATTTTGTTCTGTGCTTTACTGGTTTCAGGTGGGAGAGTAAATCCTGTACTTGTCTACTTCATTTTTGTCTTAAAGTGGTAGTCTGGAGGTAGCACTTTAATTGGGTGACTGAGACTCAACATCTCACGTGCAGAATTAAAATGTTGAGTGTGGAGGAGCTACTGTTGAATCCCAGAGTTTGGAAAGTTGCTATGAAAAAGGAACAGTGTGCTTCTGGGATGCTAGCCAATTTTTAATTGGCTAAGGTCTCTGGCTTATATATGTCTCCCTCCAGTGCAGATTATATCATGCATGAATATAGACTGTGATCTTGGTATATTGTTTACTATAGAACAGAATTCAGAATATGGTAGAGTCTGTATAGAACCTCCTTCCAAGGAGGGTCTTTATTGGACCTTGTTAAAAGCTGATCCCAAGACATAGAGGGACAAACAGTATAACAAGGCTCAAGTATTTATGATTTCTTGAGTTAGATTGTAGAAGTGTCAAGAATGTGTATGAGAATTCTTGTAGTCATTTCTAATTTTTTTTTAAACTCTTCAGACCTCCATTCTCGATGTGGGACTATCTAAACCCATACTAGCACAGTGATGCAGTCAGTAAGTTTTGATTCCTAAGTCTGGAATATTAGGTAAGAGCAAGCATTTTAAATGCATTTCCCAAAAAACAATAAATTAGTATATGCATTGAACAAGCTTTGAAAAATGATTTAATGGTTACGTCTATACACAGCCTATTAATAAGGATTTTTTTTATTGGTTATACTTCACTTGTATGCACAAAGACTGTTATATTATCCAAAATGTGGATTTTTATCTATGCCTTAGAAAAATACTTTAAAATTATATTTCTAGAATTTTATAACATGCCTCATGCATATTTTAAAAGGATGGTACCTCCTCAAATATCTCTTCTCTAAAATACACATGCACACAAATACAAAAAACTCTTAAGTCAGTACCTACTTTGCTAATATAAAGAAAATATATTGGGATGAGTGACTGATAATGGTAAAGTTGCCAATTCTTCCAGAATTAATTTATCAGCTTAAGAAATTCCCAATAAACCCACGAATAGGAATTTTTGTTTGTTTGATATTGACAGAATGATTTTGCCAGGTTATTTGGAGAAGCAAGCAGATGAAAAATACCAAGACATTTTTAAAATAAAGAATACCATTTTCTTGCTCTACCTCTTAAAACTTTATAAAGCTGCTGTTATAAGCAAAACATATTATCAAAACAAGACTAGACACATTCTGTATAGCCAAGGAATATTCTGGTATATATGTCTTAACATATATTATTTTAGAAAAATTATCAGAAGTTAAAGACAAAGATATTTATTGTTCAGTAAATAGTATATGAGAAACTGGTTACATATTACAGAAAACAAATCATTTTAAAATGTCACCTTACCCGAAGATAAATTTTACTTATGTTAAAGTGCTAAATCTGGGAAAATAATTATTCTAAATGAAGATGCAGCTAAATGTGTGGTTGACTATTGAATGGAGATCTCTTTAATCATTAAAATAATGAAGCAAAATCACACAGAAATGATTATGTAAATTTGACTACATAAAATTGTGAATTATTGAACATCAAAAACCAGCACAAATTGGGGAAAATACTAAGAAGTAATATAATGGAGAACTGACATTTTTAATATTTAACAAGCTTATACTTATTGAAAAAACAGTAAGTCCATACTGGGAAATAGGCAAAAGCATTACTTAAAATTCTTTAAAACAATAGACCACTAGACATGAAGAAAATGTATAGCCTAACAATAAAAACTTAAATTAAAGGAATTTATGTCATTTATATCAAATTAGAAAATATTTTGAAAAGGGCAATATTTAGTGCTATCATGTATGTGATAAGACAAATGCTTTTATAAACTGCTGATGGGAGTGGGAATTATTGTAACCTTTTTGCAAAATAATTTTTGAGTATGTCAAGAAAATTATACTATTTCTTCTCCTTGACCCAATATTTCTTGTTTTATTTCTCAGGAACTCACATTGGAGAAATAATCATAAATATAAAAATATATGCATGTTGAATAATTATTTAAAATAGTGAAAAACTGGAAATAACCTAAATGAACATTTCGGTAAATTATGGTAAATTAGTATGTTGATTTTATAGCACTACTGAAACTTCTTTATAAATAAGTTTTAAAGATATGGGAAAATGCTTATGATATAATAAATAGGGGAAAAGAAGGCTAGTAAATACTGTGTGTGTATTAGTATGATCTCAAATGTGTTAAAACACATATATACATACTATATGCAAAGATATATATACGTACATACCTGAATGATTTGATTGAGTATCAAACAGCAAAAGACTAGCAATGGTTACCTGAGGGACCAGGGTTTTAGATTACTTTCATTTTCAAGTGTACTTTTGATAGAATGATTAATGAATAGAAAAATATTAATATCAAGGGACTTAAAACTTAAAAAAAAATAGTTGTAACACAGCATATGGCAGAAGTGGCTTATGGAGAAAGGGAAGTTCTTAGGGAGAAGTATTCCTGAGTTCAAATCCTGGGCCTACTGTGTTATTCTGTGCAAGCTGTTTCATCACTGATTTTTTCTCCAAATGTAAGGTGATGATAATACCTACCTCATAGCATTGCTTGGAAGATTGTAATAACCTAACAAATGTCAAGTGACTGGAAGTAATTTCTACTTAGTCAAGTTTATTTGCATCTATCCTGAGGCTTCCTACAGAGAAAATTTTATAACAAGATAATATGCTTGTCATAAACTATAACCTAGGCATAGTTTCTTTAATTTAGAGTTTGCAAGATTTTTGTTTAGGGGTTTCTTATATGTTAAGTTTCAGTGAACATTTTTATTAGCCTTCTTCAGAAGTTAAAGTAACAAGTATTTTTATTCTTAAAATATATTTTATTGATTTTTTGCAGAGAGGAAGGGAGAGGGATAGAGAGTTAGAAACATCCATGAGAGAGAAACATTGATCAGCTGCCTCCTGCACACTCCCTACTGGGGATGTGCCCGCAACCAAGGTACATGGTCTTGACCGGAATCGAACCTGGGACCCTTCAGTCTGCAGGCCGACACTCTATCCACTGAGCCAAACTGGTCAGGGCAGCATTTTTATTCTTAATGAAATATCAAATGAGAATGATGTTATCATACTCTTGCCATTATGTCAAATGGACACTCTTGAAACTTAATGAACAATCTTTTTCTATAAATCATTTTTAAAAGTAAGTAGAGTATCAAAATTTATCTTTAGCTGCTCATTCTTTGCAATTTTACCAGTAAACTGAATCTGCATTGTGTAATTCTGTGGCCATAACTCTAAATGGACAAGCCAGTTATAAAATCTTTATGATACTTCATTCAAAATTTACCTTTTCCTAGTAATCCAAATAACCAATGAAAATTAAAATTTTTAGACAAGTTAGTTGTTTTGCCAATTGGAAGCCCTTGATCAATCTTAAAAATTAAATCTAATGATTGAGTAGCGCCTAATTCTATGTGTAAATTAACACTCACTTATGAATGTAGACATAAATCTATAATCACAATACCTCATAGTTACACACAGCATTTTACAATTTATGAAGTTTTTTTTTCACCCATGTAAACTAATTTGACACAACAGCCTTGTTAGGGAAACAGATATTATTATCCTTATTTTACATGTTTAGAAATTGAAGGCCAGTGGGCTAAGTGCCATATCAAACATTATACTCTTAATTCTGGTTCCAAGTCCAGTGTTCTTTTCACATCATCCTAGAAGCTCTATTCCCGGCATATAATGATTGAGGAACACAGTGCCATTAAACCCATGTACTTTATTAGCAGAAGAGGCCTGAAACTATCCCTTAGGGCAGAGGTTTGGTTTAGGATTTTGTTTAAAATGAGTTACTAATTTAATACTTTGTGTTGGTATATTAGAAACTTTGAGTTAGTAGAGCTGCTCAAAGAGAAAAAATCTGAGATGTAATAGACAGTGAAAGAAAAAAATAGAAATAGTGGAATTGCTAATGCTAAACCAGAATATCCTGTATACTTTAAAGATTCTGTAGGTTTTACAAAATTGTAGAGGAGTACTAAAAATGATAATCATATTAATTAAAGGGTAAATCCTATATAGTGCATTCAGTTTAAGAAGATATGCAAACTACAAAATATCTTTTAGGAATATTTATATTTCAATAGCTAATATTGAAGAAGATTCTTAAAAGTGGTTAATTCCATCTGTTTCTCATATTTCCTTTTTTCTAGATTTGTCTGTTTACTAGTTTTTAAAGAAGTACATTTTTGAAAATATAATATTGAGAAATGATCAAATGGTAAATTATTATTTTATTTTAGGTTCTGTTTACAGAGGAAGATGTGAAATTCTACCTTGCAGAACTAGCCCTTGCTTTGGATCATCTGCACCGATTAGGAATTGTGTATAGAGACCTGAAGCCAGAAAAGTACAGTTATATTCTCCTTACATATCTCTATTACCAGTGTTATATAATGACTTTTTTCTCCACTACATCTTTTATTTAAAGATTATATGAAAATATGTATGAATTTCAGTTATATGAAACTTATAGAAAGTAATGTTCATAAGATACCCATTGATTTTTTTCCAATTATTCATTTTTATTTTTTCATGTGATAGTGTTTGTACCAATGCATTCTCATTTAGTAGTGAATAAAAATATGATGCTTTACTGGAAACTGGTATGTTTTTTAGCAAAACAAAAACACTGAAATTAAAGTCACAAAGCTCCTACAATGGACTGTTAAACTTGGACAAAATCATTTAGAAAGCTATGCCATTTAAATTCTAAGAACACAAGAGTCAACATTACAGCTCTCATTATTCTAAGAAGCTACCAAGCAGAGATAAACCTTAAAGTTGAGTATTACATATGTCAAGTTTCAGCCCAGTACAGATCGCTCCATGGCAGAATACCCAAATTTGAAATGATAGTGGTACAAAAACACTATTTGACCCTTTAGATATTACAGCCCTTTAGATATTACAGTGAAATCTGGCTGTGTCACCACTGGCTAAAAACCATTAAGTCTTGCTACCACCAATGACCAAAGACCCTTGAATAATCAATAATAGGACACTAGACCATATGGTATAAACACAATTATAAAAGTTTAAAACTCTGTGTGGCTTGCCTGTGATCTTCAGTTATCAAAGACCCATACTGCAAACATGACTTTAAATGGAAATAAGATAAAAAGGGAAACTAGTGGAGCAAAAAGTCAACTAATATGTTTATAAAAATTGTGATATTAATCTGGAAATTGGTGCTCAGGGTATTCTGAATCCCACTCATTTCCTTCCTGATATGAACTGGATTCCAATGCTTTGACCAAAGATGTTTTCTAAGTGACACAAGCTTATGACACTTAATAGTGCAAGGATTTGTATAGCTTTGAACTTCCTGGGCACGATGATTACAAAGAGATGCAAAATACTGCTTTAATTATTTTAAGGTGTTTCTAAAGATTTTTCTATTGAAACTTAAAATTTATATTTACCAAATTTTTAAAGAAAGTGATAGAAACTCATATAAAGTATTGTTTAGGAAAAGTTGATTTGCTAAACTTAAAAATTGAATAAAAATGAAAGTGTATTGGAACCACATGGCTTGTGATTAAAAAAAAAATGAATGGATTATTTAAAAACATGTTGGTTAAAGAAATGGATGGAATCTGATTAGAAATGATTTGGCCTCCTTGTACTGCTCTAACATACAAATCCAGAAATATTTCAAGAATAATTAATTTAAAATGGGAGTCCAGTAGGAGAAATGAATGTGTATACATTTTATGATTAAAATGACAGAGTATTCATTAAGATCTTCAGAACTATAAATGATCTAGAGGGGTGGGGGCATTTCTTGGTATAAGTAGCTGATTGAAGTTACTTTGGGCAAAATTCATGTCATTTTCTTTCTCTTTTTGTTGTTGGATAACAAGAAAATCCCATTGATTTTCAATTAATCATTTATTTCTAGTATTTAAAAAAGACACTGACCTATTTTAATTTTGTGAAGGTTTTTTATGAAATGTTTTATATAAGCTATTTTATTCCATCTTATTGAATGTAAGTTTTTATTTACAGCATTTTGCTTGATGAAATAGGACATATCAAGTTAACAGGTATGCAAATTTTCTTATTCTACCCTAAACTTGTTTTATATTTTTCATTATTTTAATATTTAACTAAGCCTGTTAACTTTCTTTCCTTTTTCTTGATTTAATTTGCATTTTTTCTTCTCTTTTGTGTACAAAAATTAACTTAAAGGGTAGATAAGATACCTCTGAATACGGTGTAATTATAATACCAAAAATTATACAATACAGTTGCTGTCCTAATTCAGAAATGACATTTGGTTTTCTAAGTAAAAGCACATTATCTTAGTTTTAGTCTAGATTGAAAAGTTATCATAAGTAGTTATCACATTTGAAAAACAGTGAATTATAAACTTTTCAACCAAGTGTTTATAATCCAAGGTTAATTTTGTTCTTTATTTGCAAAACATGATATGTTTTATTTTTAATATTGAAAAATTTATACAATGTGCTAATCCTCACAGGCTTCTTAGGCACAAAATATCCTTATTATACCATTTTAAAAACATTTTATTTTGAAATAACTCTAGATTTATAGTGAGTTGCAAAAATAGTACCAAGAGGTCCTGTGTACCCAGCATCCCTCAATGGTGACATCTTACAAAGCTGCATTGCATTACAAACGCAGGAAATTAGTACATTATAAATAACTAGACTATATGCTATACTTAGATTTTACTAACTTTTGCATATTTTTTTGTTCATCTTTGTTACATTTTATCACATATATAGAGTTGAATACCACCAGGACAATCAATATGCAAAACTATCCTAAAACCACAAAGAGAACTCTCTTGTGCTATCCATTTATTGTTGCACCCTCCCTTCCTTTCCCCTAATTCCTGACAACCAGTTATCTTTTCTACATGTCTAATTTTGTTATTTTAAAAGTATGATATAAATAGAATTATATAGTAGTCACACTTCTGGGCATTTGTCCTAGAGTAATAAAACTGTATGTGCACACAAAAACCTACACATGAGTTTTCATAGCAGCTCTATTTGTAATAGTCAAAGACTAGAAATGTCCTAAATGTCCTTTAAACTGTGAATGAGTAAACATACATCCATGCAATGGAATACTACTACCCAGCTATAAAAAGGAAAGAATTTGTGATATATAAAGCAACTTGGATGAACGAAGGGCATTTTGCTGAGTGAGCCAATCTCAAAAGGTTACTTATGTTTTAATTAGAGAGTAAATTTTGTATTTAATTATCAGAATATTAAAACAGATAAAATGAAGATGTGGTCTTTACAGGGAGTTTTGGACCAGTACACTTTAAAGGTAAGTGCTTTAAAACTCCTAAGTATACCCCTTCATTATAAAGATAAAGTATGAAGCTGTTAACTTGGAAATGCAAGCAAATGTGATAAAGTTCAGATAATGTTTAGTGAATCTTATTGATTCATAGCCTTATTTTCTTATCTACACTAATAAAAGAGAAACATGGTAATTGGCGTACGACCGCTACCCTTCCCATTGGCGAATCAGGGCAATATGCAAATTAACTGTCAGTCAAGATGGCGGCTGGCAGCCAGGCAGCTTGAAACTAACATGAGGCTTGCTTGCTTCAGTGACGGAGGACTCCAACGTTCCCCGTCTGCCGCTGCAGGCCTCTGAGCCTGCAGTTTCAAACATTGAAACAAATACAGACACTAAACAAAACTCCAG